GAAGGGCACAGCCACGGGCTTCGAGGCGATCAAGCCGAGGCAGCTGCTGGAGCTCAGTGACGAGGGGATTGAGACCCTCATCGACATCGTGGTGGCGGTTGAGCAGGCCGCGGAGTGGCCGCAGATCCAGAGCAAGATCGTGTTCTTGGCCAAGAGGCTGGGCGGCGTGCGCCCCGTGGCCATCGTGCACGTCCTCGCGAGGGTGCAGACGAGGTTACGCAAGCCACTGGCGAAGGAGTGGGAGCGCAAGAATGATCGACCGTTTTTCTGGGCTGCGCGCGGCAGAGGCTGCGAGAGGGCAGTCTGGCAGCAGGCCGTGGAGTGCGAGTGGGCGACAGCGAAGGGGCGCGAAGCTGGCGATGCATCCAGCTGGGTCGCGGCCCTCATCCTCCTGGACCTGCTCAAGGCGTACGAGCAGGTGCAGCATGGGCGCCTCATCCAGGCCGCCCAGCGGACGGGCTTCCCGCTCTGGCAGCTCAAGCTGCAGGTGAGTCTGTACCGAGCGCCCAGGTGGCTGGCGCGGGACGAAGCCGTCAGCAACGCCATCTGCACCGAGCAGGCGGTGCTGCCTGGAGACGGGCTGGCGACGCTCATGCTCAAGATGCTGCTGCTGGAGCCGCTGGACAAGCTTCAGGAGCTGGTACCCACGCTGGCGATGTCGGTGGTCGTGGACGACATCATCTTGAAGAGGGTGGGCGGCCTTCAGCGGACAGTCAATGACCTCACGCTGGCGGCCAGGCACCTCAAGGTACTGCTCGGCGAGGCCGACCTGGAGATCGCGATGAAGAAATCCAGGGCGCTAGCGAATGTGCCAGCAGCGAGGCAGGAGCTCGAGAGGCGCCTGGTGAAGCCGCTGGGGGTGCGCGCCACGGGGCAGGAGAGGAACTTGGGGGTCGACTTCAGTGGGGGCAAGAGGATAGGACGAGCTGTTCGTCATGACAGGATGGCGCAGGCGAGAGGCAGGCTGCGCAAGATCAAAGTGCTGCAGGTGGTCAAGGTCAAGCGGAAGGCCACCAAGAGGATCGTGAAGACGGGGTTGCACCCATGCATCGGGTACGGCACGGCCATCACGGGCTGCACGGAAGGGGAGCTGGACCGCGCCAGGACCCTCACGTTCGTCGCGATCTCCAACACCACGGCGAGCAAGTCCAGGTCGCTCGGGCTCATGCTCCAGGCAAGTCTCGACCCGATCTACGACGCGACCTGCAAGCCGGCCCTGATGTTGCTGCGTGCGGTCTGGGAGCAGTGGGTGCCGCAGCACATGGTGTGGCAGGGGCTCGAGGACAAGCGGCCCGTGTCCTGGGTGCACGTGCAGGGCCCGTGCGCGGCGACGGTGCTCTCCCTCAGGAGGATCGGCTGGGACGTCGTCAACGCCAACTGCTGGGTCATGGACAACGGCGTGGCCATCGCGCCCTTCGACTGCGCGCCGTGGGTCGTGGCCAAGCTGATGAGGCGTGCAGTGCAGCGCTGGCAGTGGAGGCAGGTCAGCAAAGCCCCAGGGTGCGCGCACTTGGCTGGTGGCGGCGAGCTGGAGCCCCTGGTCAGGCTCACCTCCTCTGGCTGTGCCAGGAAAGCCGACGAGCCACGCCGTGAGGAGGGGGCCCCTCGCACCGGGGTTCGGTTGACGGCGCGAGAGCAAGCCTACCTGAGGTCCCTTATCATCGATGGGCAGTGGACTCAGGCGCGCAAGGAGGAGAAGGGGCTGACGACCAGTGCTGAGTGCTTGAGGTGTGGCGCCAGGGGCGCGCTGATGCACAGGCACTTCGACTGCCCGTGCTGGAGTGAGGTGCTGACGGTCCCTGAGGACTTGGCAGGCCTCCGAAGGCAGAGCGGAAAGCCTGAGGTGCAGCTGCTGCTAGAGAGGTGTCTGTGGCCTACACCACGGGGCATCTGCCGCCCGCCAGTGTGCAGCGACGTGTGCTGGAAGGGCGACCACGATGGAGGCACTCTTCCTGAAGGTGAGCTGTTTCTCGACGGCTCGGCGTTCGAGGCGGACTACGAGGAGGTGGCGGCAGTTGGCTGGAGTGTGGTGGCGCTGCAGGCGTACAGTGACGGCTACAGGGCTTCCATCGCTGGCCAGATGGAGGGCCCCTGCGTGGACATCAACGGCGGGGAGCTCACGGCGGTGATCATGGCGCTCAGGTTCGGCCAAGGGGTCACGGTGCTGGTGGTCGACTCCAAGTACGTGTACGACGGCTTCTGCAAGGTCGGCAGGGCAGGCACCACGGGCTACGCGTACACGTGGGCTCACCTGTGGCGGCGAGCCTGGGACCTGCTGGACGAGCGAGGAGGGCTCGGGCATGAGGTCAGTCTCAGGTGGATGCCCAGCCACAGTACGCGGCGGCAGGTGGCGGCAGGCGAGGTGCTGTACAGAGATTGGTACGGCAACCGACTGGCAGACAGAGCGGCAAAGGCTGCGGCGGCCAGCGGGCGCCTCCCCGCGCGGGACAGAGAGCGCCTGGAGAGGAGCCGAGACGTGGTCGAACGGGTAGCCATGTGGTGCGCGGCAGTCGGCAGCTGGATCGACGGCAGCGACACCACGCACGGCAAGACGAAGGTGCAGCGAGCGTTGCCAGTGCGCAGGGAGCCAGCGGCGAGGATGGCCTGTGTCTGGCGGAGGCCGCCTGGACAGCGCCCCTGGTGCGAGGTTTGCAGATGGTCAGGCAGATCGGGTGAGTGCCCTGGCAGCATCGCCGCCGAGGCGATCAGGGCCAACAACAGGCTGAAGGCGCAGCAGAGGGCGTCGCACGACCTGGTGCTGCTTGCGCCTGTGGATGGGAGGCTGCTGGTGCGCAGGATGCCGCTGGTCGCGTGCAGGGCGTGCGGGTTCACAGGCGCGGCCAGGGCGAGCTCCTTCCACCTCGAGTGCAGGAGAGTCCCGTCGGCTGCAGGGGCCGCTGCAGTCGCGAGGTTGAGGAAGGGGCTGGCTCCGAAGGTGGTCAGCGAGGTGGCAGTCAACATCACGGCGCTGGCGGACGACGTGAAGGAGGGGAGAGGCCAGTCGCCGTGGGACATCGCAGAGGAGGAAGACGGCCACTCCTGGAGGTCGCCAGGAGGAGCTCCAGGTGGTGGGGCAGAGGAGGAAGCGGGCTCACTGCGTCCCCTGACCCCTGAGGGCTCCAGAGCGGCGGCTGGTCTGAGAGGACGAGCTGGAGGCAGGCGCGCAGCCGCGGCGCACCAGGCCGAGGCAGGTGACGAAGCTGGGCCTGCGGGCGGCGGCGGAGGGCCAGGCCCGCGGCGCCGCACGCGTGTGCGCAGCCGTTCGCTGAGGCGAGCCGCGCTGACGCCGCCCTCGAGGGCGCCGAGGCGGGCGGCCAAGGTGGCCAAACAGCAGCAGGAGGAGAGCCAGCGGACGGAGGCGGGCCCTGCCGAGGGAGGCAACGAGGTGGCCACAGGGGGCAGCAGCGGCGAACCGCCCCCGCCGATGATGGCGGACGACGCGCAAGGGGAGAGGGGCCAGCCGCCGCAGGACATCGCGAGGGAAGAGGACAGCCACGCCTTGCGCACGCCAGAAGGAGCTCCAGGTGGCGGGGAGGATGTGTGCTGCCTGCGTCCCCTGACCCCTGGGGGCTACCGCGCTGCGGATGGCCCGAGAGGGCGAGCTGGCGGAGGGCGTACAGCCGCGGCGCGCCAGGATGCCGCGAGAGGCGAGGCAGGGCCTGCGGGCGGCGGCGGCGGGCCAGGCCCGCGGCGCCGCGCAGGTGTGTGCAGCAGCTCGCAGAGGCAGGCCGATCCGACGCCGCCCTTGCTGGCGCCGAGGACGGCGGCCGAGGTGGCCAGGCAGCAGGAGGACAGCCAGCGGCCTGAGGCGGGCCCTGCCGAGAGAAGAGATGAGGTGGCTGCAGGTGGCAGCGGCGGCGGATCGCCCCAGCCACCCGAGGCCAGTGGAGTCCAGGTGCTGGCGGACGACGTGGAGGACTACAGCGTGGTGGCTGGCCCGAGAGGGCGAGCTGGCGGCAGGCGCGCAGACGCGGTGCCCCATGCCGCGGCACGTGGCGCGGCAGAGGCTGCGGGCGGCGGCGGAGGGCCCAGCCTGCGGCGACGCGCGCGTGTGCGCAGCAGCTCGCCGTGGCTGGCCGTGCTGACGCCGCCCTCGCAGTCGCCGAGGAGCGTGGCCCAGGTGGTCAAGCTGCAGGACGAGAGCCAGCGGCCTGTGGCGGGCCCTGCGCAGGGAGGAGACGAGGTGGCTGCAGGTGGCGGCGACGGAGGGCCGTCCCCGCCGCGCGAGGCCACAGAGATCAGGCCGCAGGAGGAGGTCCAGCCGCAGCCGCCCGCAGGGGAACCTGCTGCTCGATGCGAAGCAGGGGCTGCGGGTGGCGACGACGTGGCCATGGAGGGCGAGCTGCAGGAGGTGAGGCCGCCGCCCGCAGGTGGCTTCTGCTGCTCGATGCGAAGCAGGGGCTGTGGGCGGCGGAGGCGGCGGGCCGAGGCCGCGGCGCGGCGCGCGGGAGCGCAGCAGCTCGCCAGGCTTGGCAGCCAAGGTGGCGAGGCTGCTGCGGGCCGCGCGGGGTGAGGCCTGGCCGACAGCCTCGGGCGCGTAGCTGCGCCGAGGCGCGGGCGCGCGTGGGGCGCGCGCCTCGCAGGGGCGGCCGTGGCTCGACGCGGTCCGCCTCACCCCGCGGGCATCATCCTCCTCCTCCTCCTCCTCCTCCTCCTCCTCCTCCTCCTCCTCCTCCTCCTCCTCCTCCTCCTCCTCCTCCTCCTCCTCCTCCTCCTCCTCCTCTCCTCCTCCTCCTCCTCCTCCCTCTCTCCTCCCTCCTCCCTCCTCCTCCTCCTCCTCCTCCTCCTCCTCCTCCTCCTCCTCCTCCTCCTCTCCTCCTCCTCCTCCTCCTCCCTCCTCCTCCTCCTCCTCCTCCTCCTCCTGCGACGACAAACGGCTGCGACGACCACGACCACGACCACGACGACGTTGAACGGCGACCGCGACGAGGACGGCGGCGACGACCACGACGGCCACGACTACGGCCACGGCGGCGACCGCGCCCAAGAGCGGTGGCAGCCTGCTCCCCGCAGCCGCCCTGCATCTGCGGCGCGCCCGCCGGAGCGCCAGGCATCTGCGGCCACATGCTGGCCTGCTGGCGCAGCCGCCGTCGTCGCCATCTGGCGGCTGCGGCGCAGCTGCAGCCGTCGCCGTGCTGGTCGACGCCGTCGGCGTGGTCGTCGCCGCCGTCGCCGTCCTCGCCAAGGTCGTCGTCGCGATGAGGAGGGGCGGCAGTAGGGCAGCAGGAGGAGGGGGGGGGGCAAGAGGAGGCCCAGGAGAGAGGTGGGGAGAGGGAGGGTCACGGTATGGCACACAGCACGCAGGCTCTGAAACATAAGAGGCCATAGTATCATCTCGCCGGCCAGGTGAGGACCCTAATCCACGTACACCTTCTACATTCGGGGGGCCTGAAGCTTTATGGAGAGGAGGATGAAGGAAGAGCATGAGCCCTCTGCTTTTTCTTCCAATCATCCTATGGTGTTGGGTCTTCGTTTTGAAGAGACAGCGCCCCGCGTTCCTCCTTCCTTCCTCCTCCCCCCTCCCTCCACTTCCTCCTCTGATCCCTGCCTCTGACCAATCAACCGTGGCCCCATAGGGAGCCCCACCGAAGGCCCAAGTGCCACTGGGGCCGTCGGTGGAGCTCCCTATGGGGCCACGGAACGTGTGAGTGTGCCCCCAAAGGTGCGGTGGGCGCATGCGAACGCAACCACTGGTGTGGCCAACTGGGTGCGATGGGCGCATGCGAACGCAGCCACTGGGGCCGTCAATGGAGCTCCCTATGGGGCCACGAAGCGTGTGAGGGTGTTGCTAAGTTGGAGGCGGTGGGTGCATGCGAACGCAGCCACTGGGGCCGTCGGTGAAGCTGTGCCAAAATGAGTGTGGTGGGCGCATGCGAACGCAGACACTGGGACCGTCGGTGGAGCTCCCTCTGGGGCCACAGAATGTGTGAGGGGTGTGCCAAAATGGGTGCGGCGTTCGCATGCGAACGCAGCCACGGGGGCCGTCGGTGGAGCTCCCCATGGGGCCAGGAATCGAATGAGGCACTGAGGGGTGTACCAAAATGGGCGCGGTGGGCGTATGCGAACGCTGGCATGTGGGCCTTCGGTGGAGCTCCCGATGGGGCCACGAAGCGTGTGAGGGGTGTACCATAACAGGAACATGCGGATGCCAGAGACATGGATGGGAGGAGGGAGGAGGGGGGGGGGAGGCGGGAGGGACGCGGGGCACTGTCTCTTCAAAACGAGGGCCCAACACCACAGGATGCTTGGTGACAAGCTCACGCGGATCTTGCCCCGTAGGGAGCTCCACCTGCGGCCTCAGCGGGGGCGATCGCATGCGCGCCGTCGCAGATTTCGGCACCCTGCTCACGCGGATCGCGCCCAACAGGGAGCTCCACCCGCGGCCTCAGCGGGGGTGATCGCATCCACCCCCTCGCCGATCTCGGCACGCTTCTCGCTCGGAGCGCGCCCCACAGGGAGCTCCAACTCCCGCCCTCGCGCGGGGCGCAGAGAACGTGTGAGGGGAGGGACATCCCTGGCGATGTCACGCAGCGGCATCAGGTTAAACATTTCGCCGAACGAATCCGAACACAATGGGGCCGGAAGGTCTTGAGCCGTCTCCCAGAGCATCGATGAAGTGTGATTTTGCGAAGCGGAGTCCTGTGGTTGCTTCGTTGTCGTCGCCCAAGCCGCGACGCGCCCGCGACCCACCCGCGACCCACCCCGCGACCCACCCGCGACTCACCCCCAAACCAACCCGCGACCCACCTGCGACCCACCCGCGTTGCGTTGACTATTTTAATAGCGGGCGCTGCGGCGGGCTCATTGTGTTATGCGTACATCGTCGGCGCCAGAGGCGAGCTTCATCAAGCTGGCGTTCGAGCCTCGCAGACCGCAGGCGATCCGCCCCCCCACCTCCATTCTTATCCGTAGCTGCGGGGGCCATGGTATCGATGCCCCGTGCGCCGTTGCTGTTCCATGTCTTCGTGCGGTTTGCATGTCAACATTGTGACCACCCTCACTCCAACAGATGCGTCCCCAGACCTCCCCTTACGTATCTGCACCGATGTTGAGGCGAAGCGAAGCGAACTTTCAGTGTCCTAGATCGTGAATACTTTGTGAGGAACTCTGGAGTTGGACAAAGGGTCGATGAAAGACGGAAAGGGCCAGGAGGTTGGACACACGGGTGCGGCACAGTGCTTTAGGGGTAGTCCCGAGGAGCATCAAAAGAGGTCGGCATGGGTAAGTTGTCGAGGGTGCGATGAAAGTGAGGCCTCAATTTTCCAGTCTCCATCCTCGGTTATGATTATGCTTGTCGCCCTCTCCCTCCACGTCGGCGACGTCCTTCAAGTGTTGTTGCTTAGTTTGATGATCTTGCTCCCCTCTCTCCTCCTCCTCCTCCTCCCCCTCCTCCTCCCCATCCTCCTCCTCCTCCTCCTCCTCCTCCTCTTCCCCCTCCTCCTCCTCCTCCTCCTCCTCCTCCTCCTCCTCCTCCTCCTCCTCCTCCTCGTCCTCCTCCTCCTCCTCCTCCTCCTCCTCCTCCTCCTCCTCATCATCATCCCCTGTCTTCTTCGTTTTCTTCCTCCCCTCTCCTGGTTGCCCCCCTCCCTCCCTCCCTCTCCCGCCTCGCCTTCCCGCTCCTCCCCGCTCCTTATCCTCTCCTCCACGTTCCTTCTGGTGACCCTCCTCTTCCTCCTACTCCTCCTCCTCCTCCTCCTCCTCCTTCTTCCTCCTCCTCCTCAAGCCCTCGTCCTCCTCCTCGTCCTCTTCCTCCCCCTCCTCCTCCTCCTCCTCCTCCTCCTCCTCCTCCTCCTCCTCCTCCTCCTCCTCCTCCTCCTTCCCCCTCCTCCTCCTCCTCCTCCTCCCTCCTCCTCCTCCTCCTCCTCCTCCTCCTCCTCCTCCTCCTCCTCCTCCTCCTCCTTCCAGCTCCGCTTCCCCACTCCTCCTCCTCCTCCGCTTCCTGCTCTTCCTCCCCCAGCCGGCCGCCGCAGCCAGGGCGGGGGGGCTCCTGCCAGCCGCCGTTCCACACCTCCCGCGGCGGGGATCCGCCCTGCCCCGTGCCCGCCCCGCCCTGCCTGCTGCCCCTCCTCCTCCTCCTCCTCCTCCTCCTCCTCCTCCTCCTCCTCCTCCTCCTCCTCCTCCTCCTCCTCCTCCTCCTCCTCCTCCTCCTCCGCCCCCGCCCCCCCGCGCCGCCCCAAAGCGGCGGGGCCGCGCGCGGCCGAGGGGACGAGGGCGAGGGGCAGAGGCGGGGCGGCGCGCGGGCGCACCCGCGCGGCCAGCCCACCCCACCCGGCCGAAAAGGAGTCCCTCTCTGGGCGACGCTCGCCGCCGCTCGGACGTCCACTTCCCGTGCATGTTACGGTTTCGTGCGTGTGTTTTTTTGCTCGATGGTCCAGGGTGGTCCTCGAGGGTCCTCGCCGAGAAAAGAAATACACGCGTCCGAGCGATGCCAGGGACGCTCAAGAAAGGGGTCTCGGAGCGAGGTGGCGCAGCGACCCGACGCCGCAGCTTGCAGCCAACCCGGATAACAAGGATGCGCCATAAGGATGCAAGGGCCTTGGACGCCCATGTCGAAGCTTTTCCAGCGGGGCGCGGCCAGCGAAAGCGGCGAAGGATGGACCGAGGAGGCAAGGATGCAAGGGTACCCTTGGGAAGGTTGCCCATCCTTACTATGCGGGTTAACTGTACGCAGCTTACGCAGCACGCCACCTTGGAAGCGAGAGCGCTTACGCGCGACCTTATGCGGGCAACTTACGCGCCGATGTCGGCGCAGGCGACCGTTTTTTGTTGCGTCGCCTATCTGGCGCTCCGGGGGAATGACGAGAGCTAAATCGGGACGCAACTGGGTGGCGGCGCGCAGATCTTAACCAGCCTCGAACTTATCCCTGTCCCTGAGATGGGCGAGCAAAAAGCGAGGACAAGATTGGGGATGTGCCCTCAGAAACTGAGGGAATCCTTCAGACTGGCATCGAGGTGAGGTGATGCCAAACACAGGGGTACGGATATGCTTCAAACTGGTAAGATCTGGGGGGCAAGGCGGAAGGGGAAGGCTGCTTTGAGTGAGGCCGCTCCTCAGAAAGCGCCGGCTCTACATCTACAGACAAGACCCGCGCCGTCTGAGAAGCAGGGGTGCTGCTTAGAAGCCTTCCCCCCTCCCCATACCCCACTCTGCGGAAACAGGAAGGTTATGGGACGCACAGAGAAATACTAGTACTATCTGTCCTCCTTGGAGGCGCGCGTCCGACCCGAACATATAGTAGACCCATCTTGCAGTATATCGTTTCCAGAGCGGCGGTGTGGCCAGAGAACGCCCGCCACGACGAATCTACTAGACGATTTCTCGGTGCGCGTGTCGCCCCTGGAGGGGCGACGCACACATAGTATGAGACTAGGGGATCAAGCGATGACATAAACATTTCGGAGATCCGCGCGGATTTCTCGGATCGGCGCTGGACCCCCTCCCCGGCGCGCGGAGCGCACCAGGGGCGGCGCCAGAGGCACCGCCATGCAGGTGCGTCCAGCGCAGGTCCGAGAAATCCGCGCAGACCACGGAAAAATCATGTTGATGTCATGTTTCTTTCCCCGGCAGTCGGGGGTTGCTCAAGGTGCCCCTGGCCCAAGGTAGAAGGCAGAAAGTCCAACCCGAGAAGACTACCCCGACGACGTGCGAAGCCGTTTCGTAAACGCGCCCATCGCAGAAATCAAACAGGGCAGAGCTGTTTAATAAACGCCCAGGGCCGTTTATTGGCGGCGCGCACAAGGGGGTGGGGGGAGGTGGGATGGCTTCTTAGAAGCAGGCTGCTTCTTAGAAGGCGCCGGCCTTACATCTATAGATAAGGCCCGCGCCTTCTAAGAAGCAGGGGTGCTTCTAAGAAGCCCTCCCCCCTCCCCCCGGGGCGATTGTTCCTCCCTTGACGAGGTGCCCCCCAGCTTCTTTCTCGCTCCATGTCGGAGCCGCGGGGGCCTCTGGAGCCTCGTGCGGTGTGCTCCGGAGGCCGTGGGGGCCGCCATGGAAACCCACGGGGGCACCATTTGGGGCCCAGGGTTAAGTCGGGCCTGTCCTCCTACAGGGGGATTTGGATGAAAAGTATTAACATACTCAAAACATATTCCCAAAGACA